AGGCGGAGGTTGCGGTGAGCCGAGATCGCGCCATTGCACTCCAGCCTGGGTAACAAGAGCAAAACTCCGTCTCAAAAAAAAAAAAAAAAAAAAAATCAATTGTTTGATCTCAGCAAATTGCTACGTTAGATACAGCTTTCTTATCTGTGATACAGATGGGGTGGTGAATACAAATTCTGTAGAATCTTCCATTCCTAGCATTTTCTGAATTTAGTCTTGTAAGGAGACATCCTAAAAGCTCAACCCATGGTCTTTGTCATTTTTTGAAATATTAAAATAGCAGGGATATTGTGACAACCAGAACCTATGCTCAAAGAGACGCTGGGCAACACAGTGCTCCGCCCCAAGAGGTCACATCTCTTTCTACATTCAGACCTATGACCTGACCTGGTTTCTACCTGTTGGTGAGAGGTTGAGTGTTCCTCTTCTTTGATGGATTATACCATATATACTTTCCGTGAAGAATCCAAACACGGTGAATTAATCTGGTTGCTGTCTGAGCTACTTGCTCATCCCACCCTCGCTTCTGTGTGCAGGAGGTATTTAAGTGTCACAGACAATTCCCAGAAGAAATATGATGAAATACTTTCTGCACTCACAGGAAACACAAAGATTTGATGAACTGTGATCCTCCAAGGAATTTCACTCTCTTCCCCTTTGACTTTAATGATAAAAGAATGAAACACAGGGGAATTTTTAAAAGACATTCTGGTGATGATTGAGTTGGTAAGAAGCACTGCATGGGCTGTTTTGTGCAAACTAAAGATGCCTACATAAGGTGAATTAGGGATTAGTTGAGAAAAGTCTTCCTACATTCTGCTCAACTGTCTAATACCCACTTAGTTAAACCGAATTGTTTCTTCTATGTGTCCTCCATTTATCCTGATTAGTACAATTAGAGATAATCCATCGTTGCTTTACTCTGTGTTACTGATATGATTATCCCCACATTACCACCTCTAAATCTTTATAAATACCCTCTTTCTCTCCTCATGTCATAATCGATAATGTGTCTCTGCTTTTACCTACGACCAGCTCTTTCATATCTTTGGAGCTTTCCACAGACTTTACTTCTAAAATTATATCTCTACTCTCCCCTTAAACTCTATCACAATATCCTCATTTGTATACAAATATTTTCTAGTGTCACCCTTCTTCACAGTGTCCATGACAGCAAGTCCCATCAAGTCACCAACTTATTAATTGATCCTTACTCCCTCTGCTATTAATCTTTCCAAAAACGCTATGTCTACTCATTGCTCCTACTTCCTCATGTCTTATTTACTCTTTAACATGTTCCAGTTGTCTGTCTGTATCATCTGTCTTTTGAGCCTAATCTTGTAGAGGACACATGACACTTCAACACTACTTTATCCAAAGATCACTTCTCTGTCTCATTTTACTTGATAGCTCAGGAGGATTTGTCACAGTTAATTCCTCCACCTACCTTGATATAACCCTACATATGTTTCTATATCACCTCACACTTCCGTTTTTCCTTCCTTCATTCCTACTTCTCCCCAGTTAGCATTTATTGTTTATCCCCAATCTCATGCTACCCTTTAAATCTTGGAGCAAAAGTGATAGTTTTGATATTTGGTTTTCTTCCTGCACTCAATGCTTGAGTGAACATGAATCTGTGCCATGATTCCAAAATCTCTCTCTCTAGCCTTGACCTCTTACCTGAGTCCAGATTCACATATTTAATTAACAACCTGGCATATAGAAACTTTGGATGCATAAAAGGGTTAACAAATTAGTTTTCTCTTCTTAGTTGTGATACTCAGACATATGTAAAATATTCACACCTTTTGTACTACTAGAAAAGACTATACCTCAAAATCATACTTACGTCATTGGACTTAGAATTATCTCAATGTTAAGTCACAGATAATATTTTCTATTAGGTTAATGCAAAAGTAATTGCAGTTTTTTGCAATACTTAAAAAATAGCAAAAACTGTAGTATTTTTGTACCAACCACTGTATTTCTTTAGTTTGTGCTGAGGCAAGAAAATTGGCAACTTTTGTATCTTTACTCATAATCCATTAAAAATATTTGTTGAATAACTTGCATGTAACTTATACTGGAGATATAACAGGTAAGAAAACCAAGTTTCTTATCTCAATAAACTTATATTTTAAGTGAGGGAGATTGTATTGCTTCTGCCAAATGTATTATGTATGTGTGAATGTGTGTGTGCATTTCACATAAACATAAATGATGTTTCAAATAAAAATGAAACAGGCAATAACATAGGGAGTGGTGAAGTTAGAAAAGAGCTCTCTGTTGAAAAACATCTGAGCAAGGCCTGGATAAAGATGATACCATATGAGTGTTTCTGGAAGAGCTTCCTGTGTACACATGCAGTAAACACAAAGGCTCCAAGGCAAGGTCCTCTTTGGTTTGTTAAAAGAATTGCAAGGAAACAAATATATGTGAACCAGAGGGAGACAATTTAAGGAGGGAAAGAACAGCAATCAAGAAGATTCTGAGAGACCAGCAGATCACATAAAGCCTAGTAGCTAATAATAGGTTTTGTGCTTTACTTTTTCAAATTACTTTGTAATAGTTGTCTTGCATCAATGCCAGATGGTAAGATGTAAGAGGGAATGGAGAAGATTAATTTTGTTGGCTATTTTACCAGTACCAAGAGTGGTGTCTGCTTCATGAAAATACTTATTAATATTTATTGAGTGAATAAAGAAATTAATGAAATGAAAGCCATATTCTAGTAGAAATGAATAAGAATTGTATTTTCAATGGGCATTTGGGTTGGTTCCAGGTCTTTGCTATTGTAAACAGTGCTGCAATGAACATTCGTGTGCACGTGTCCTTATAGTAGAACGATTTATAATCCTTTGGGTCAGTTGGGGGGAAGTAAGGGAGGGACGGTGGCGGGTGGGGAGCTGGGGAGAGATAGCAAGGGGAGAGATGCCAGATGTAGGTGATGGGGAGGAAGGCAGCAAATCACACTGCCACGTGTGTACCTATGNAGATGTAGGTGATGGGGAGGAAGGCAGCAAATCACACTGCCACGTGTGTACCTATGCAACAATCTTGCATGTTCTTCACATGTACCCCAAAACCTAAAATGCAATAAAATAAATAAATGAGAAAAAAAAAGAATTGTATTTTAAGTGGAATTCTGAGGGTTGGAGGCAGGATCTGACCAATCACATAGATTTAATTCAATGCTGTGTTCAATTAAGCCTCTGGATCATGAGATATTTTGTTCTTCTGAGAGTATTCCTAAGATTCTCTCTGAGATATAAGTGATGCACTGGGGAAAATGTAGTTCAATTACCTCAGTGAAAAATAAATTCACTTTTTAATTAAGGATTGGCATATTTCAGACTGTAGACTTTTTTGTGTTTAACAGAGATTAAATTTCCAGAGAATGATCACAGCTTTAATAAGACCAATCATGGGTCTTGGATTCAAAAGAAGTGGATTTTATGCTTTGCTGAGCTAAAGGATAAAATGTGCTGCTGAATTCTGCCATAGTTGATTCTTTTATGTCACTTGTGCTGTTTTCAAAGCTATAAATCTGACTGTTGGAAACAGAAGACTTGTGTTTCTACAAAGCAAAAGTAAACTAATAAGAGCCAGGCTTTCAGTGAATATTACTTAAGGACAGAAGGTAAGATCATTTAATTTATCACAACTTGTTTTGATGTGGAAAGTTTCAAGAGGACTTAAAAATCTAAGGAATTTGGATTAAGTATTTCATGTAAGTCTGAATACTGAATTTAATGTTGTCAACTAAACTGTGAACATACATTGTTTTAAAAGAGGGAGATTTAGAATCACTAGAAACAAACAAAGAATTTCATAGAATATTCAACATATGTATACACATGCATACGGAAATGTGTGCAAACATGTATGTATACAGAAATACGTGTGGTGCAAAAAATACATAAATATAATTAATCTTGTATATAAAGAGAGCCAGAACACAAATACATATTTAATTCTCTATGAAGAACCTTAAGTTGAATAATTTTATGCCATTAGATACATAAATTGAGAAACTAATCACAATATTCAGCCTTTTTCTTGTATTTTAGTTTTGCTTGCGCTATGACATTGAACAAGTTAATATTCCTTAGGTCAAATTTATGTTTAATACAAGGATAATTCTAACTTGATTAAGTTTGTTGCAAATCCATATATTCATGAGAGATGATGTATCCAAAGCTCTTTTTCAATAAAAGAAACATAATCCACCCCACATATATTTTTCTAAATATAAATCTAAATTAAGTACACGTGGTGGGAAGACAGAGTTACAAAAGCTAAACAAGTTACTTTCCTCATATAGGCATGTGTATATAGACATGTGTGTATATATATATATATATGTATATGTATATGTATATTTACATAACATATGCATACACTCATAGGATCATATATATCATGGAAAATATGATAGCTTTATGTCAGTTTATACATTTATTACATATATAATGTGACTGTTCATGTGTGTACATATATATTTATGTAAAAATAAGAGACTTAAAGAATGGCTACAAATTTTTTTAAGTGGATATAAAATGGCATTTTAGCTATTTTAGAGATATGAGAATTAGCTTAAAAGACTGTCGCAGTAATGTAAGTAAAAGACGACTTGGGACTTAGTGACAGGGAAAGTGGCAGAGGTAGCTGGCTCAGGACCTAGATCTTGTAAAAGAAAATCCGATGGAATAATCTAGTGGATTGGCTATATAGCAAGTGAGAAAGAGAAAATATCATTTATCCAGCATTTTTGTCTATTTATATAATTTCATCTGTGCCAATGAAAGCATGGAGCTGTGATTGACTTGAGATGGGGAATGCTATGTTTGGAGCAAATTAGAGGAGGACATGAAGAATTCAGTTTTGGTCATGCTGACTTTCTACTTGATATCCATGTGGAGATGTAAGCAGTTAAATTACAAGCTTGGAATTTGGAAAAGAGGACAGGACTAGAGATATGACTCAGAAGGTACAAGCGCATAGACAATATTTAAAACCATCAGACAATAAGAGCACCTGGGTAGAGTGGAAATAGGAAAGGAGGAAGCTCTGAGACACTCCAACACAAAGAGGGAGAAGAGGAGGAGCAAGGAACAGAGATAGAAGGAGCAACCCATGTAGTAGGAAGAAAAAACAGAGAGTTTGATGTTCTGGGAGAATAGAGAAAGAAGCCTTTTAAAGACTAGTAAGGAATAAAGTATGTCTAATGTTATTGATAGATCAAGAAAAATGAGGCTTGAGAATTCACCATTGGATTTAGCAATAAAGACCAGTGATTTCTTGAATAAAAGCAATTTTCAAGGAGTGATGGAGGGAAAAGCCTGATTAGAATGGGCTAACAGAAAACAAGAAATGCAGAATTCAGTACAGAAAAGATACGTAACTGTGTCCATATGTTTATCTGCTAAGGGGATGGTGGAGATATTGGATGACAGGTGATGAAGGTGGTAGGATCAGAAGAGGAAGAGAAAAAAGTTGG